TACTTCCTTTTTAGCATTGAAATATAAAATGTAGATTGTAAATTTCATTTTTAAATTGTTTTTAGCTCACCTGAGCCTAGGGCTCAAGTGAGAATTTTTTTATCAAAATTTGTCCGTTGTCTGTCGTCGTTGTCACTGTAAACTTGCTACAAAGTATCCTTGGCTAAAGGAAATTCAAGTTTATTCAACTTAGGGCGACACCCTCTTCCAAGGAGAGATAATTATAATCATCTACTCAAGAACCAATGTGCCAGGAAAAGTGAAACGCATGTAGAATCATCCTCAGATAGTGTACCAGTATATTTAAATTTATTCAAATCATGACCCCCGGGGGTAGAGGGGACCACAGTGGTCGATCAAAGTTTTACATAGGAATATATAGGAATATAATATTTTTAAAAATCTTCTTAAGATCCATAGGAACAGGAAAGATGAAACTCATGATGAATCATCCTAAGGTAGTATTTAAGTTTGTTGAAATCGTGACCCCCGGAGGTAGGCTGAGGCCACAATGGCCGATCAAAAATTAATTATTACACAGGAATAAATAGGATGATTTTTTAAAAATTTCTTCTCAAGATCCATAGGGCCAGGAAAGATAAAACTCATGTGGAATCATCCTCAGGTAGTGTAGATTTAAGTTTGTTCAAACCATGACCCCCGGTAGTAGGGTGGGAGCACAATGGCCGATTAAAGTTTCATATAGGAATATATAGGGATATCTTTTAAAATCTTCTTGTCAAGTACCGCAAAGCCATGATAAGTAATATTTATATGTAAGTATCCTCAGGAAGTGTAGATTCAAGTTTGTTCCAATCATAACCCACAATGATAGGATAGGCCACAATGGGGAATCTAAGTTTTACATTAAACTATATTTTTAAAAAATCTTCCTCTCAAGAATACTAAGTAACAAAGCCATGATTAGTGATATTTATATGGAAGCATCTTCAGGTAGTGAAGAATTAAATTTGTTCAAATCATAACCCCCAAGGGTAGGGTGGGGTCTCAGTGTTAGATTAAAATTTTAATAGGAAAATAAAAGGGAAAATCCCCAAAACATAAAAACCATGTTTAATCATATTGACATGTATGTATCCTCATGTTTAGAAGATACTTAAAAATTCCAAAGAACTTTTTGGATAATTTGAAATCACAGATTGCACCAAATTCAACAGCTTAAAAACTTAAGACTTTTCAACTTTATATGCAACAACCCCCCTACCCCCACCCACCCCAACCCGATCAGGTAAAGTCCAGGCTTTTTGATATCATTGACAGCTGCTTTTTCAAATTTACTTACTTTGTCATTGGTCAATTGCCAAATTATTTTGTTAAAAACATTCTGATTGTACACACAGGTAATCTGAAGTTGAATATGAACAAGATGTTTTAGTTTCCGATTGACAATATCTATGTGGTTTTTGGAAATCAGATCTTCCAACAATTTATTGGAATCCCCATGTGTACCAATTGCGTCCTGTTATTAGCTGACCTTTTTTTGTACTCATATGAAGCAGAATTTGTGCAAAATCTGATGCTGGAAAAGAAGAAAGCAATTGCTGTGGCCGACACCTCGACATTAAGATATATCGACGACGTATTGTCAATTTACAATGGTAATTTCCATTCTAATATCTATCGGGATGCCCGGGTTCGATTCCCGTTCGCGTCGCCGCGGCAAACCTAAGACGTAAACATAGGTAGTGACTGTTCCTTTGCCAAGCGCTGGGCAAGTGCAAGTAGTGCAAGTCACGGGTCTATCGGATATTACCTTAAAAACGTAGGCCCCATGTCAAAGTAGGCGTTGGCACTATAAAGAAGCTTCACTGCTCTATGGCCCTGAGTGCCGAGCTCGAGTTTATATTACATTAATGCGTCAAAACCAACTGTCAAAGTTATCAGGAAGCCTCAACTTTTATTTATCGTGGGGAATGGTTGTGTATAAAGTTTAAAGTTGTAAGATTTAAATTGTTAATTTTGGTCAAATCCTGTGATTTTAAATTGTCCAAAGTTTCTTGGATTTTTGCGCAGTAATCTTACAACCAAGCTCTATGATAAACGTGATAACTTTAACTTTTCTATCGTCAACTTCCCTTACTTATGCAACAATATACCTTCATCACCGGCATACGGAGTTTATATGTCTCAGTTGATTCGATACAGAAGAGCTTGCTCTACGTATATACAATATCTAAATGAGGTAAATTATTGACAAACAAGTTGATGAAACAAGGATTTCAGAAGTCTCGTTTAAAGTTATCATTTCGTAAGTTCTATGGTCGATACAGTGTCCTTGTCAGCAAATACAATTTATCATCGAGTCAGATACTGAAATACGTTATTCATACTTATTGTTAGTTCATTATTTATACACATTTATACAATCATGACAAGGAGCACACGACGGGTGTGACCGGTCGGCAGGGGGATGCTTACTTATCCATGCCCCATGATCCCATCTCAGATGTTTTTGAGACTCGTGTTTGTTCTGCTCCTTTTTTATACTGTTCTATGGACTTTTGATCTTGAATTCTGTAAAAATATTTTTAGTATTTCCTTGCTTAACTGACTTTTATCTAAGGACAGAATTGAAAAAGCAAGTTTTCCTTCCTTCTCAAAGTTGATAAGAATTTTAAATAAAATGGCAAAATAAGTTATTATATATTCTGGGGAAAACGTTTTTCTTTTTTTCTTATTTCTCAAAACTCCATCAAAAAACTAAATTCAAAAAGCCTAAATATTGAAACAATCATTGCTTAACAGATTTTTTGAATTAAATAATAAATAATAATGGGTTTAAATTTAAGAACATATAAGACATGAAAACCATGGAGATAATGAACAGTATTCAAGAACAGAAGTCCATTAATAATTAAGAAATAAAGTCCGCGTTTTCGTGAATGTTGCAGAATAACCTCCGAGGTCGAGAAATGTTGTTTGAAAGATAAAAGCCGAGGCGTTAGCCGAGGCTTTTATATTTCAAACATTTCGAGACCGAGGAGGTTATTCTGCATCATTCACGACAACAAGGACTTTATTTCTATTCTACCAAGGGCGATAAATACGGCTGATTGTTTCCTCTATAGAGAAACGAATTAGGTCACCATGTCTCGATTACGCTGTTCTATTTAACACCAGAGAGAAATTTTGTTGACTTACCTATATATGGAATGCAGACGATTTGAGCTTTCGTTGCATTAAAAATAGTCTTTTTAAATTACAAATTTGTTCGTAATATGTATTGATCAGTTAAAATGAATATACAAAAACAAAATCATGTTCTTGTTTTACTGCTAAAATCACGTTGTTTAATGTGTAGTGAGGTCCGTGGAATAGCCCCGCTTAGCTATAAAAACCGACATTCATCAGCAACTTGATGCAATTTACAGTGTTTTTACTGCAAAAGACGACACATCGATGCGGTCTAAACAAGTATTTCATTCTACAGCCAAACATGCATTTGAATTGTTCAGATTTGATACGTGTTTCTGATCTGATAATTTTTTGATGACGTTCGTGATTTATTGGAGAATAATGTCCGGCGGCTTCCTTTGAAGTTTTCAATAACCGTGGTAGAATAGTAATTTTGGAGCATGTCAATGAGTAACCCTACCATTTTTATAACATCAGCCTCAGGGTATATATCCAGAATGTAATTTTGTAGCGGACCTATAGCAAAATAGAAAAATTTACGAGTTTCATTTTTATTGAGGAAGCAGATGTTAATGATGTTGTAAAGTTACGTTTTTGAGTGGGAGACATATCTCTCAGGCGCAATACTGAAAACAGACATTGAATTACATTTAACAGTTTCGAATATCATTACAATCTTCTAGGCTTTTAAGTGATAAGAACGCTGATGTTTTGGTTTTTTCAGTGAACTAGTGAATTCAATTAGTGAATTCATTTACTGAGCTCATTGTTCACATTACTTCTAGTTTATTTTATAATAACTTAATTTTAGTTGTAACACGAAATTTGATTGGTGAAAAGATTTAGTTTATATCATGAAACATGAGATGCCTATACGTCACAAATTGCTCCGCTTAACGTTACTTATAAAATAAGCTCAATAAGAAGCCATTTTTGGAGGAAAAATTGAATGTCTTATTGTCAACACTGAAATTAAATTGTAAGGAATGAAGCTTATTTTAACCTCTGTTAAACGATAAAACATAACATAACGATATAATATATAGCTTATTTATAAACCGTTTTTACAGATTATAAAACGTAAACTTCCACATGTTATGTTATATCGCATAAAAGAGGTTAAAAAAATACTTTCATCTAAGCCCTTTTACTTTTAAACTGACTGCATGTCTTAGTTTAATATTTGCATAATGATAACTTTAAACGACACTTTAGTAGAAAAGCTTTACAATTTAATAGTACATCAAGTTTTATATTGAAGACACATAGCAATGATATCTGAAAATACTGTATAAGTAAGTTACAAGTATCTTATAAATTTCATTCAGGATTCAATGGTGAGGGATTTACGGAATTACGATGAATTCTGGCCATGACGAACCCTCGATAATAAATTGAGTCAATTGTCTTTTTGGACTTTGGTTAACAGTGTCAGCAGTTTTAGCAATTCAGTGCTTTCCTCCTTTTCTATTTTGAACATTTCCATTTCCATTTTCTGCTTTCTTTTCTCTATATCTAGTTTTCCTTCCTCTGCCTTTTCTCTTATTTCTCTGTCTAACTTGATTTTATCTTTAAGATAGTTGGAGATAGCATCTTTCATCCATCTGGATTTTACATTCCCTTTTTCACCACCTATGCAAGTGTTATCTGTAATAATGTATATCGAAATGGGAAAAAATATGGAAAATATCAATATGGAAAAAGTGGATAGTTTACAGCTAGAAAATATTAAAATAAACTAAGACCCATAAAAAATTAAACAATTAGTAATTATTACGGATGGCAATCGATTGCAGAATTGCTAATCGATTAACCGCAATACGTGCGTTCCGCCGATTAACCGGTTAATCGTATCAAAATACGCATTTTTCGTAATGTACTTTAACTCTTTTTTCCTCATCTTCGCTAGCCAAAGGTTTCTGAAATGCTACTCTCCTCATAAACTCTTGGCATACGGTGCAGTCAAAAGACAGGATTGTTTTCGTCAAGTGGTCTCGAATTAAATCAGGAACGCACAGATTGCGCCATCGACAGAAATAACGACGCGTGTTTAAAATCTAAATCAAAGTTTTTTCAAGAATAATTAAGAAGCAATAATAGAGTTATGTTTATTTATTATTTATAGTACAACTCGGGAGTTTCAATATATTAGATGACACCATATCTATTTACAGAATCACATGTTATCTTACGGATAGTTTTTCACTTCCGAGATTAAAGAGTCAAGAAATATCCCGAATGCGAATGTCGTCATTTACAAAAAAAAACAATTGCTGATGGTTCCATGTTGATTGGTCGACCGATCGAGAAAATATTAACCCAACTTTTATGAACACCGTATGCCGAGGGTTTATGATGAGAGAAACCCTTGGCTAGCGAAGATTTTTATTTCCTATGTAGATCTATTCACATATAAAAGAAGACTGATAAATTCTAGACATTAAATTATTGTATTTGTCTTCATTTTTGCTTTAAAAAAACATAAGCTTATATATTTTATTTTAATTCAATATAGACTGGGGAAAAATTTAATAACGCACGCACGAATCATGTATAAGAAATCACTGATATTTTTCCAATTCAGATTTCACATACGTTGATTCTGCATTAATTGTCACCATAATAAAAAAAGGTGTTTAGTCTGAAATACATCACTTAATTTACAAAGTTTGTTTAGTAATTTATTCTATAGATAACTGCAAAAACAAACATGGTAATTCGCAGTTGTCAACGGTGATTTATTCATCATTAAAGAAATACAGGACAGTCAGGGTAACGACATTGTGTTTAAACAGTAATTAACACTTTAAACACAATATGACCAATTACCCTACAATCTCAATCCGGAGAACGATAAATACTTCCAATTGCAAGTCAAATTGGATATGTGAAAACGCAGACTTATCAACGTTTATGCAAATATTTCTTTTTTTTCAAAAATGAATTAATTCTGACAAAATTATGTTCAAATGTATATATATTTTTTATTTTTTCCGACTAACCGATTAGAGATTTTTTAACCGATTGCAAACTCAGCAATCGGTTAACCAGTTACAAATTGCCATCCCTAGTAATTGCCATCCCTAGTAATTATCATAATTAAAATTGTAATATTTAAGAAAATGAAAACCGCATTTCATGGAACAATGATATTTAGTCAGCAGATTGCATTCACAATCACGTCGTCAATCATGCTCAAAATTTTACAACACTCACCTAGAGTTGGTGACATTAATATAAACGGACACCTGCACTGGTCCTGGAGAAGCTGTGTGTGAGCATGTGTAAGTTCCGGAATCGTCCAGCACCGCTGAGGGCTTCCTCAGAGTTGTGAACATCTTTCCTGAGGTCACATTGTATCCAGAAGCTAAGAGAAACACAATTCTATGTTTTCATTAATCCATTATTAACCATCCTTTAAAGGCTATTATTATGTATGTTACTCTGTGTATTAGCTTAATTCTTTGAGAGTCGGGAACATTGTCAACATGAAAGAAAATTTGATAAGGCTTTCATTAAGGACTCAGAGAAGAACAATAGAAATGTTATTACATGTAACTCATTACATGTAATCAAAATTAAATGCAATATAAGTTAAAAGTTTTCCTCTTTCAAAAAAATTTATCATTATATTCTGTCCAAATAGGCATGTTAATTTCTTAGACAATTGTCATACAATACCAGATAGAATTTTCTTTCCATTCTTCTGCCAAATAAAACTTCCCCCGATTAAATTCATCAGAAACTCGGAATTTTTGACGGTACATCGTAGGTTGATGTCTTCCTTGCATTTAAGTGAAAAGTCACCTTGGGGTATCATCTCCAGCAAAACCGTTGGCTGAACTAAACAAAGAACACATATCTTAGTAAAAAAATTCGGTCTGATTGATTGATTGATTGTATGTTGTTTAACGTCCCTCTCGAGAATTTTTCACTCATATGTAGACGCCACCACTTGATTCGATCTGAAAATAATCCGTAAATTTAATTTACTTAACTATATACTAGGATTATTATGTAGAAAAAATCAACTTAAGGTTAGAAAAAGTACGTGTATAAAATGTCTATAATAAAAAGGATTCCACTTAAAACAATATTTGTTCTGCCCATACCATCCTATGGTTCAGTTGTTAGTTAATTTACTAAAATACTGATACAAAAATTGGGTCTTTAGGCAATACTGGGGATTTGGGCTATGAAAGTTGAATTAGGCCTTCAGAAAGAAATAGGTAAAAATAAAGTCAAGAATTAAGATATGATCCAAAACTGGTCAAGGGAAACTTACGAAGATAACAAAAATGGGTATCTTTTTGGACAACTACTGTATGCGTGCAGCAATAACCATTATATAATAAGGGTTAAGAACCTTACGACAATGCCAACGAGGAACTCTAATTTAATATCATTTATGAGATCAGAGAATATTTCCTTAAATCTAAACATTGTTATGAAGTCGAATTTGTTCAAAATCTTTAAAGTGAAAAGTAGAAAACACTTGCTATGGCCTTCAACTCAAGTGTCTTTGGAGATCCGGATATGACGTGTTGTTGGGCAATGGATGCATGTGACATACACTACGTGATGTGAGGTGTGGTATGTTGCTAAGAAACTTGTTTGGATGTGGAATAAGACTAAGAAAAGAGGGATAGTAAACACAAACAATGGATGGGAAGTACGGGAAAAGGGGAATAGGAACCTGCCGAATCACGATCAGTCTATTCACAGTGATTTCTAGGATTAAATTATTTATTTTTTTACTATTTTAATTTTTATATAGGAACAAATCAGAAGAGGTAGCCTACAATAAAAATATCTGACGTACTTGGTTCCGTGATATTTATATAAATGGAGACAGAAATTTGTTCCGGATAAGCAGAGTGAGAACATGAGTAAGTTCCGGAATCGTCGATTTCTGCTGATGACTTCATTAAAGTTGTGGATGTGTCTGTTGTAGTTATATTGAATCCAGAATCTACAAAACATCAAACGGCTTTGCAGAAATTATTATTATATCAATTATACTTCACAGCACTAAAAAACATGTCGGGAAAAAAGAATCAACAAAGGCGTAAAACTTTTCTCTCTTTTTATTTATTTAAAACAACTTAATATTTCCTTATAAGGAAAAAAGGTCATTTTAATTTTATTTTTAAAAAAAGGCAAAATTGATACCTGGTGATATTTTCTTGCTGTCTTTCTGCCAAAATAAACCACCGCCAGACAAATTAAATAAGGATTCAGGATTGGTAACAATGCATGAAAGGCTTATCGATTCCTTGTTTTCAATTGAAAGATCATTTGGAGGCATCATCCACAGCACAAGCCTTGGAAGTACTTTACAAAAGAAAAAAATCGTAAAGAATATTTTTAACCTATTAATAATCAATAAAAATGGGATTAAATTTATCATATAAGATTATTGCACTTATATAATTTATATTTCTTATTTACCGAGATATCATGAAAGGGAAAAATATTTCTTATATTAGGATTTTTTAAATTTTTTATTATGTGATTCTTTTTCACATACCTACCAAACCAATTCCCATCCACCCCATCCCCCGTGTAAAAGTTGTTTTTCAAAAGGATAATAAATTAAACATTTGACTTAGAAATGACAAACGCATTCTTCTTATTCTTTTTCTCACCTCGTAGGTAAACACTCATACTCTCTGTTGTTTTACCATTTGATGCTGTGATATTCCAATCTCCTAAATAAGTAATTAACATTTATATACTGACACGCAAAAGAAACGCAACGCCCTACTTTAGGGGAAAATAACTATGTAAAGTAAAGGGTTTTGTAACTTAAACTTATGTATATCCACAATTTGGTAAACATCGGTAATTTAACGGTTGAAAGATTTCATTACCGTAACCGGAAGTCAAGTTTGAGTGTGCTTAGAGTTTTAAGGATTTTTACTGTTCATCATAAGTAATGCAGCAATATTTCAAAAATAAAGTTTCCTTTTGTTTCCCGCAACGACGCTAAGGCTACTTGAAAATGGCTTATGTATGCATTTCCAGTGGTCTAGCTGGAAAATTGCACTGTAAATGGGATGGAGAGTTGCTGCATGATGCGAAATTTCACTACATCACGCTTCAAGAGGGTCTTACGTATCCTATGCATTAAGGACAGTCCTTGTACCGGAAGTCCAAGGGTGGCTACACTGTTCTAAGTTAGATTGATTGATTGTATATTGTTTAACATCCCTCTCGAGAATGTTTCACTCATATGGAAACGTCACCGTATGCCGGTGAAGGGCTTCAAATTTTGATCTTTACTCGGCACTCAGGGCCATTCAGCAGTGAGGGATCTTTATCGTGCCAACGCCTGCCGCTGACACGCCCCCCCCCTTTTTTTAAGGTCTCATCCAAAGGACCCACAACTTTCACTTCAAATTGCCGAGCACATGGCTGCAATTGTTGTTTAGGGCAGTCTTGCAAGTTTTACTTGAATGGCTGGAGGGGGGTGTTTTTACAGTCATATGTTACTTAATTAAGTTAAAAGATAATAAACATTTAACATTTTTATCAAATCCCTGATGTTCTAGAAGTGAGTTTAGCCCTACTTTATTCGCTATTGAAAATCATAAGATAAAAAATCAAACAATTGTAGATTACTGTTTGTTGCGTTTCTTTTGCGTGTCAGTAAAAATTAACATTATAATTCAGAAAAGTTAAGGATGGCGTTTACTCAGGTTTTAGAAAACCGAATGGAAATTTTATAAAGTATAATATTTTTATTCAAAAACTGTTCTAAGTGGATAAGATAAGCAAGTTTTGAATCAAAATCAATTTGAAAATTTAATATTTTATCATTTAAAGAAAATATACTGGAATAAAAGTCAGTGTATGGTAATGCAATGGAAATTCGGACTAAATTATTTAATTTTCCATTTTTGTCAATTTTTTTTATTTCTTGCAATATTAAACAGAAAGTAAAGGTTACCTGTATTTTTAAACATCATTTTGCAAATATTACATGTGTTAAAGCTTATAAATTATTTCAAATAATTGAATGCTGTGAAATAAAGATATTCAAAAAAATGTACAAAAACCATTCGAGACAACATATCTTAATAATATGATCATTGACCCTGTATAATATGAATACCATGGGAATTAGGGCAACAAAAGTTATCTGAGGCTATCAATAGTTTAGAGTTCTTATCAGTCAGATTTTTTAAATATTCGATTAAAAATGGAGAATAAATATAAATATGACAGGGGAAATTCGGACTGTAATAATTATCACATTTATGGTCCAAACTCCAATCCTTTCTTTTAAATGAAGCAACGCTGTTCCATTGCTATGATATTTCATTATTGAAAGAGTTTAGTTGCTTGTAATATTTTGTGTGTACCGAAAAAAATTGGTCATAGTGTGAAAAACTTTTTCCCGAGAAATACCTAGGGGTCACTTGCATTAAAAATAGGTCAGTGACCTAGTTATTTGAAATTTAAAATTTAACACAAGAATCAGAGGTGTACAATGTACAATAGGTGATTTTTCGTTCTTATCAGTGGAATTTTTGGTCATCCTGAGTAAAGGTATAGTTAAATAAGCACTCTTTTGTTCCAATTAAAAAAAATATTCTGGGTACCTTCATCCTGTTGTAGAGCATTTGGTATGTTGAGCACATTGCATAATGTACCATTTTCGGTTGTATATGATTTTATTTCATATCTCAATGAAGAGTTGGTTATCAAGTTCCCATTGTGAAACCACTGGATACTTAGGTCGCTTATGTCATATATTTCTGTTTCAAGCCAAACTGATTTCCCCTCTCGTGATAATGAATCACTAATTCTGAAGAATAGTATCTCCACAGATTCTGTAAATTAATAGAAAGCCTATTTTCAATTATAAAATTACCTAAAATTAAACAGAGACAGATCCTTGCTTTTTCATACAATCCAAATGCTGTTTCTTGTAATCTTATTCTTGTTATATATTGTAGCAAATAAATTTTTTTTTTTTATCAAAGACATTTTTTCTTACCGAGAAATAGAAATTCAAGATTTACTTTTGTAAAGATTAAATTTCGGAGTTTTTCTACCTCACTATGACCGAAGTAAAATATTTTCTGAATAAATAGTATTTCTTTTTAATTTCATAATATGAATAACAAACCTGGTCCTGTGATGTTAACGTAAATGGAAACATCTAATGGGTCAGGGTAGGTGGAATGTAAACAAGAATAACTTCCAGAATCTTTTATCTCTGGTGATGCTTTATTTAAAATTGTCGAATTTTGTGTTGTACTTATTGTGAATCCAGAACCTAAACATTTTTAGTAATTTTAAAAAAAAATCATTGCAATAAAGTAAACGCTCATTCATATTAGGTAAAGATATATCAATTTGCAAATGTTCCTGCACACTCTTAGAAAATAAAGATAAATGAGAAAAAAGATCCCTGATTTTTTTTTAGTTGTATCTATGTAAATATTTGTCATGTTTATTCTTTTTTAAAAGAAAAACTAGTAAAATAACCTGTCAAAAAAGGCTTCCCATCTTTTACCCAGATAAGACTTCCATCCGTCAAATTAATCAGGGATTCGGGGTTCACCACAACACATTCAAGGGTGAGGTTTTCTTTAGTTTCAATTGAGAGATTGTACTGTGGTATCATCTGCAGCACAAGTTTTGGGAGCACTAAACATAAAGAATATTATATTAATTATATTTGTATATCATCATGTAAGTTCGAAAGGGCTATTATGAGAATATGTCCTTAACAGGTTTCGAATCCCTGTAACTAAACCAAGGTACTTGATACTTATAATTACTAAACATGTGAACCATGATCTTTTGCCTTAAAGAAAAAAACTCACGTTTTAGGACTATACATGCGTAATGTATTTTGACTAGTGATGCAGGTATTCCAGAAAGTGTAAAAATAAATCAAACATGCATTCTTAAGATCATCAGTGATGAAGTGATGAACGCCGCCGCTGAGAATGTTCAATGATATTTTTTTTTTTTACAAAAAATCCCACTTGTTCATACCTTTTAAAAGCAAGAAGTAAAAAAAAAGATACATAGAGCTTTTTTATTCAAAATCTAAAATCGAAAGGAAGAATAATAAGACCATGTTGCTGAAAAGGTTATATTACAGCCAGACCGTAATGGAAGGGAGTATAAATCTTTTTAAAATATTTTCAAACAATTGGCAAATGCTTCTTTGGCTTCATAGCAATTGATAAACAGAACTTATATAATTCATTGAAAGTTGAGTTTAGGTGATAAAATATGAGGTTAATGAACAGTTATCTTGTTCAAAAGACAATTAATCAGCACATTAAAGACGCAACTCTGAAAACTGCCAAAATATGTCTGAACTCGGTTTTAAACAGCAATCAATCTAAAAACATCAAAATATACAATGGAGAAGTAAATATTCCATGTTCTAACTGCATACTAGTATGTTCTTTGTCATGTCCGGGTAAAAGATGACAACAGACCACGGATAACAAAAACACTAGAAAAGGAGATCTTTATATAATCAAAATTCATTGAATTTTTAAAAAAGGGATACAACTTCACCTTGTTGAATTTATTTGTCAAAAAACAGAAAATGGAAGAAGTGTATGGCACCAAAAGTACATTTAACTTAATCATCTTTATAATTGTCAAAGGTTTTTTTTTTTTCATTTTTCATATTGAAAGAAAACACGGCTTTGCCAATAAATACATTTTCTAACTTTTCCTGTTCTTTATTCTCACCTCGTATGATGGTACTCCTGTTCACCATTGTCACCCCGTTGGAGGCCATTATGCTCCAATTTCCTATATAGAGATCAATAAATTGTACTTCAGTGCTTTTACATAAAATTTTCTTCTCTTTTGTCTCTCAAAACGAAAAACTGAACTATTACTATACCTTCCTCCCTTTCATAAACACTTGATATCCATAGCTGATGTAGAAATGTACCATTGGCCTTTGCAGAAGAACTTATTGAGTATCTTGACGAAATACCACTTATTATAACTCCATTGCGAGACCATTGGACAGTAAAGTTTGAGTTGTCTGTTATCTCCGATTCAAACAATACTTCATTTTCTTCACGGAATACTGACTTGCTACTTCTGAAGTACAGAATTTCTAAAGATTCTGTAAATGAAAAAAAAAAAATTTTTCGTTAGAGATAACTGCGCGCTTCTCGTCATAATCGCAAAATAAGTTTATATCATTTGTAAATGATTAAAAAACAAGATCATATGGGCTGAAGTAAGTTTTGAGGCCTATAGGGCTCTTGTTTTGTAAATATGTTAGAAAATTATTTTCACTGATGACAAAATGACTCTAGGAACACAAGTTAATAAATGTACTCCAGGAGTTTTTAACTTTTCAAGTAAGGAAATATACTCCGGGTAGTGTAATACATACACTTCTGGATATGAGTTGCTCTACAGGTATTTTATGGTTTTGCCAATGGTCACAATGTCCAAAATATTATTTTTACAATAGCTCCAAACCTATGTGATTTATATAGTTAAAACATTTACAATTTATGAATATATCATTGATTAAGAGATAGAGAGTATGGCTAGAAAATAAATGTTTTTAAAAAAATATTTTTTGAGAAAAAATATATTAAAAATTGTATTAATATTTTTTTTAAATAAACCTGCTTAACCCTGTCATCGTATTCTTTTTAGGTTTCGAGTTTTTACATCACAATAAAAACATAATGATTTGTGCAAATCAAATGTTTATTTATTGAGAAGTAATTCAATACTAAAATTACTATAAATTAATTTGATTTTTTTCTTATTTCTTAAGGCAGTAATCATGGCTGATAGTTTCTCTCATGGCTGATAGTTAAAACACAATGGTATGAAAACTAATATATTAAATGACCGTTTTCACAGCTTCTCCCTTTATAACCACGGGAACATACACATGTTGAGTTAATGAAAGTCCCTCCATGCTGACAAGACCACGGCGTTTCCTTCTCTGATGAATAAAAATATAAAAAATATGATTTACGTCTTCATCTATTTGTTTGTCCATTGTTTATAAATTTTCTTCATTTTTCCCGTTTTCCCGATCATTACAAAAAGAACACGGCGAGTGTGACAGGTCGACAGGGCTGCTAACTTCTCCATGGCACATGATTTCACATTTAATGTTTAAGATGTCAGTGTTAGCTCTGCTCCTGATTTGTATTGTTTGAGCTATTGATTCAAATATTGTACGTTATCTCCATATATTCCATCAAGTGACTGATTTGAAAATGTTTTCTTTAAGATAATGCATCGTTTGTTACACTTAGATTCAATCCTACGAGAAAATTATCATTTTCAACAATTATCTAATACGTTTAAAGTAAAATAGTTCATTGTGCCCTGTTATTTGACCTTAGAGGACAATGTTTCGCATATCTGATGAAATATATGGAGATATCGAAAAGTATTCAAGCTTAAAAGTCGATAAAACAATACAAAATAGGATCAAGGGAAACGCAGACCTCAAAAAATATCAGAGGTGGGATTAGGTACCATGGACAAGTGAGCATTCCCTGCTGACCTGCCTCAGCCACTGTGTGTGCTTTGTCACGATCGGGGAAAAATGTGAAAATCCGTCCTCAATTCATTGTAAAAAAAATGGACTAACAATTAGTATGAAAATCGTCAGTCAGCATTTGACTCAACGATAAATTGTATTTACTGATAAGGTCATTGTATTGACCAAAGATATGAAGACTTAAAACGAAACTGTTGATATTCTTGTTTAGTCAACTTGTTTGTCAACAATTAACCTCGTTTTAGAAATTGTACATACTTAGGATATGCCCTTAAATTTTCATTCTGTACTGTGAAATCACAAATTTTCGTAGGGGTTTAATTTCATTGTTTTCGAGAATTTAAGTCCACCACGAAATGTAAAATTCCTTTTATATAACCACGCAAAGTTTCCTTATCTACGAAATCAAATCACCATAAACCAATATCCTCGAAAATTTGACCCAGTCCTACAAAAAATTGTGACTTTTCACTTTGTTGCTATTCTAAATCCACTATTAGGTCTGAAGTATTCAATAATGGTATTTAGTCATAATAACTTTTCACAGTGATTTTCATTTTTCAAATTAATTTGTTATTACCTTTTTCACAAGGCTTAAGGAAGTTGTAAATTTTTTTTTAGTTTTTCCCTAACGACAAAACGTATACCCTCTCTCTATATCATTTTAAATTAATCGGACAGATTCAAAAGTAGCTAGGAATCTGAAAGTTACAAAAACCGATTTTCGGTTTCTACTAAGTCTTTCAGTGATCTTTTAAAAATAAATTCAAGTCAACTTACTTTCAATGTAAAAGGCCAAGACAAATCCGCTACCAGAATAGCCAAAGTCAGATGTGAAACGCACGTTCGCTGTTACGCCAGTCAATTGAATAGGAGAAGAAGACTGCAATATGGTGTCTTCTCCCTGCTCACAAAATTCTTCAAAAGAAATGTTATAGAATATGGTCTATCAACGAACCTAAATAGCATTGTCTGAATTAAACTGGGCAACAAAAGTACATGGCTGCTGTTGTTGTTGACACACTTTAAAAGAATTAAACATTATGTGTTTGTGAAACACTGTTGCTCTTATGGAAGGTATTGTTGAATTTTCTCAAATTCTTTATTATTCTTTTATATTTCAAAGTCAAATATTTGTTACTTAAAAAACAAGATGCACTGTTGCCCCTTTAAATTGAAAAGAAAAGCAAAGGAATAAAGTGAAACACTGTTGCCCCCTTATGGCAGCTTATGGCGAGAGTTGAATTTTCTCAAATGCACTCCAAAGGTCAAAGTCAAAAGGTCTAAAAGTGTTGGTTCACAAAGGAAAGCCTTGCTTCAAGGAATACACCTTTGAAATATGAATGCCCTAGTTCAAACTGTTCAAACGTTATGGCCAAGTTTAAGGAAAAACGCAACGTACCTTACCTACTAATAATTTTTCAAGATATTCTGTAAACAAGATTATAGTGTCATTAGATGTTCATAGACAAAAATCAGCATGCATTACTAAGGGTTTTAAAAAATATCAACTGATGGAAATTTTTTGATGATTCAAAGAAAAAAATGCTTATATATATTCTAGATGTTTCTTTCAGCCAAAATTGTTTTAGAAGAAATGTACAACACCATATAGAGAAGGAACTCATCAACTCCATAGAAAAAGAGTCAAAAGTTCAAAGTACGTTGCGTATGTCCTTAAAGATTTTAAGTGGCTAAAGCAAGAATATTAAGGAGGAAACAAAAAAATATTTATATCCTCTGAAAGGCCTTCTCACAACGAATACACATGTTAAGTATGATAGACCTTGCTACAACTGTTCCAAAGTAAGTTTTTGTTAAAGTTGGTCAAATTCCAAGGTCAAGACCAAGAGGCCAAATTTGGTGGTATCCAAAGAAAGGTCTTGTCACAAGGAATACACCTGTGAAATATGAATCCATAGCCCCACTCACGCAAAAGCTGTGGGCAAAGTTTTGGGGGACAAACATACAGATAGACAGCTAGACAGACACACAGGATAAAAACTATATATCCCCAAAAGCTTTGTTTACGGGTGCATGAAAGGAAAAGCAATTTTACTTAGATACCATGATTTTTTATACTTTAAAGATAAAAAAGAATATATGTTACAGAAGCTAATTTGCATGTAATAATACGTAAAAATACATTTTTCTTTGAATAATTACACTTTTTAAAAATTCTTATAAAGAAGCTACGGATTTAACTGAAATCATTCAAAGTTATTTTAAAACTTAATTTGTTTTTATTAGGTTTTATTCATTCATGTCCAGATCACTTTATCAATTCGATATTGTCGACATTGCAATGATGACAATATTGATACGACATTGTGATTAGATTGTTTGATTTGTTTTTATTCATTATGAAAACATTGCAATGTAAAAATGTTGATGCAATATCGCGTTATCATCCTCTACATTGATATTGTTAATTCATGAAAACATTTTAGACGACGACATCGCAATGTAAACAATGTTGATACGATATTGCGTTTACATCGTATATATGTTATTATTTCAATGTTGAATGGATATCATCGTGTATGTCGACATCGTCGACGTCGACATTGCGAAGTAAATAAGAAAAATAAGAAGGAAGTGTTGACATGACATCGCAATGTAAACAAACTGCGATGTCGACGATGTGAAAGATGTAAACAAGCAAAATAAAAAAAGGCAATGTTCACACGATGTCAACTCGATATCGACCAACATTGCGATGTCGACGATGTGAACGATGTAAACAAGAAAAATAAGAAGGCAATGTTGACACAATGTCGACTTGATGTCAACCTACATTGCAATGTCGACGAAGTGAACGATGTAAACAACAGAAAATAGGAAGGCAATGTTAACAAGATTTGGACTCAATATCGTTAAACAATGTAATATATAGAGAGATAAACAAAGGTATTATCCAGCATTGTCATGGCTGGTATTTTTACAGCGATGTCAACAATATCGAAAAAACATCGTGCACTGGACATACCTCGTTTTATTATTTCAATGTACACTTTATTGGAAACATTTTTTTTTTGCTCTAGCTTTCAGCTTTACTTAAAATATAAGGCAGGTGAAACAAGCTTAGACAAGAAAATAGACTATACACTGTATTCAGGTATGCCAATTATTGAATGGCTTATGGAATCATTGAAACCAATCTTAGTTTGAATGGTCTCTGGTTTTATTGAATATTTGCAAATACAACCGGTAATCTTGATAAGTAATAAAAATGTAGTTGTATTTTAATGATTCAACAAAACAAAAAAAATCACTTACCATTCAGACCATTTATCTTCACAAAATCAGTGCAGCTATCAAACCCCATCTCCAGATATTGGGACCGAAACTCAAATACTAAATGGGTATCTCTCTCTACAACTGCTGGTTCCACAGTCCATAGACAATTTAAATCACTGAAAATAACAAAATCATAAGGAGGGATGCTTCTCATGCCTGTTTTAGTTAGACGATTTTTTTAATTATACGAGAAGACAGTTTACGTATTTTAAATATTTTATCAATTCAATTAAATAACTTTTTAAAATTTTCTTTTAGAAAACATTACATTTGTCAAACATGAGAGGCTTATTTCTATATTGAAATTTAAAATAGATTTCTTTTTGTGTAAAAAGACAACAATACATAAAATCTTCCAGCTATTGCTAGTGCAAGATTAAATAACTTATTTAAATATGTCTGAAACTGACGTACGTTTAGAGAATCAAGTATATTTTAGATATCCTTTTACCGTATAACTCAAATTTGGAAGGAGAGTTGGAAGTCAGTGTGTAAAAATTTTGTTCTAAAATTATCATTTGACACCTACATTAAATATTCCTTGAATATTAAAAGGCATTACTTTCTGTGGAAAAGGTACATGTAGCGCCAATGTCCTGTATATTAAGGAGGGATTCTTCTCTAGTTTATGACGAAATGCAAATTTGTGTCGCCCGCGAGGCGCAGTGGTTAGAGCGTCTGCTCTAGATTTGCAAAGTAAGGATTTGATCCTTACGTCGCGGGTTCGAATCCCATCGTGGGATGTGGAGACCGGTCCTTCGGATTAGACCGTATAAACCCTGGTCCGATGTCGCAATAGGTGCTGGCACGAAAAAGATCACTCCCTGCTCAATGGCTCTGAGTGCTGAGTATAGGACAAAATTTGTAGCTCTCCATCGGCAAGTGGTGGCGTCTCCATTTGAGTGAAAAATTCTCGAGAGGGACGTTAAACAATATACAATCAATCAATCAAAGTATATTTGCATATATGTGTCATATATTAAGATGTAAGAGATTTCGATCAAATTTTTCTTTATCATCACGTACATCTTTACATAGAAATGATAAACTGTTTGAAATTCATATTTTATATAGGGACTTTACTTTTTGGCGGATTGGCGGCATATGAAAATACCTTCTCTTCTGCTTCAAATCCATCCCTAAATTAATCGAATATCCCTCCACCAAGAGAAAAAAAAAATCCCCTTAATTCATAAATTTTAAGCATTGTCAATATTCATTGAGGTGTTTTTAATGTATTTTGTGCAAATTGCATTACTTAGTATATTATTAAATTTTTTTTTAAAAAGCTGTCGGGTGACATTCGGTCATTTCTGTACTCTTTTTTGATTACCTATCATAATTAGATGGGAATTTAGGGGACATGATAAATTTTGGTGTCTTCTCCGCCAACAGCCTTGTACCACTACTCACGCAAGCAGAAGCTGTGAAAAAAAATTAAAGAATTAAAATACTTGACTTTAAACACTCATGTCATGATTTACATTCAGTTAGCTTTCGGAAGGATATATTTTGAGTGCATTGAATATGGATTTCTTTAAATAGTATAGATAGTATATTAACATCTCAAAAATTATATTTACTTGTATACTTATTGTTTACTTATATCTACTTGTTTTCCTTTCCACAGCCATAAAACGAAACTGGAATCCGCCTCCACTATGGGGAGAAACTGTCAACATGGAGAGGAGGGCCTCTGACGACCTAGTTTGTATAATGTCGCTACAGTATCCGTTAGTTTTGGGACAAAAGACACATCCGTCTTTTTGTGCTGAGGTTGTCGCACCTTTAAGAAACATTTAAGCTTTTAGAGTAAAGTGTATAGAACAATTTTTTATTACTTTTCCTGAGAAAAATGATTATTTCTGGGGGGAGATTTTAAACATCCTCATACCCATTGCATCACTGGATGACGGTCATTTATTGTATAGTGTCTCAAGTGAATTTCAATTATCTCATTTGTTATTCTTTGCCTGATTTTTAGTGTAAGACGCGGAAATTGATCCCTATTGTACATCATGTACATCCATTATTTCTGTAAATTGCATCTACCAATGATTATTTTTAGATATTCAATCCTCAAAGATATATTAATGGAGTAAACGGTGCATATACTTTATAAAAAATGTGCTCGTTTGAGATATTCCTTATCTTGAAATCAACCTGTGCAGTCTAAATCTTCTTTGTACTATTATTGAAAATAGGCTTGTGATCATAGCATATAAATTACATGTACAGATGTACTTGATTTAACATACCTTTACATAAAATTATTCTACACCATTTTTTTTATTTCTTTGCTGTCTGTTTATCTCCTTTAACAGCTTAGAATTCAATCTCAAGATATTTTGATATTTTTATGTCATGTAGTGCATGTTTTATGGATTCGTTAAATGTAGTTCTCATGTGACGTAGGCTTATCACAATACATCAACTAGAAACAAATTCTGAGTACTAAGGTCTATGGTTTTTTTTCCAAAGTCTTATGGAAAAAAATAAGTATTAAATTAAAAGAAGAGTTTTTAGATTTTAACCAATTTGAATATATTCTCTTAAGAAGTTTTTGCTAAATTTCTGGGTTTTTTTTAAATTCTTAAGAGAGAGAGATAGAGGGAGAGTATACCATAATATAGACCGAGAGTTACATCAGCGTCACACACCCATTTCGGATGAACCGCAACAAAATATCCATTCGGTGCAGAAATTTTCCAGGAACAGTTCTTGCCTCTGAAAGCATTAGACATTGCATATACTTTGAAAGACTAGTATGAAAAATTCTAGTTGATAACAGATTGAAAAGTTCTTACGCTTCATATCCTGTTTTCACCGGGTAATCGTCTGGGTAGGTCACTTTTCTCCCCAAATAAGGTTGAAGGATAATTTCCTCAACCCCATCACAAGTTTTTACAGTGGAAACTGTCGACAAAATAGAAGTATTAATAAATGTTTATTTTTTGTCAAAATGTGTCTACTTATAATGTGAGAGTTTATTTTTTTCACTATTTACTAATTAACAATCATAACAAAAAAGTATATTACGAAGTTATTGGCCACATACTTAGCCTGATAACATCGGCTAGAAAAAAGGCAGTTTAGTGTCGAAAAGTTTACGGGTAGCAACTTAAATTTACTCTACCTCATGATGCTTTGATATCATTATTACTTTCCATGACATTGATGTTCTTAGGTAGAAGAATTTTAAAGTTTTTCCTTTGTACTAATATGTAAAAAAAAAAAATCTTATCGCTCACCCTCCCACCCTAAATATGAACAGATTTGAATCTAAACTACCTGAGGATATATACATTTCAATAATAGCACTAGTCATGACTTTCTTGTTCTCGAAAAGATTTTCAAAGACATTTACCACATATATTTTTATTGAAACTCTGACTATTCCTGTGGCCCCGCCATACATCGGGGTTGATGGTATGAACTTTAATCTAGAGTTAACAATAAAGCTTTCAAATAAAGAAATTAAATTTTAACTTTTCTCGACCAGTTGTTCATTAGGATTTTTAAAAGGTGCAACCAAACTTTCACTATTTCCGAATTTTCTCCTCTTGAATGAAAGCGTGGTCATTCATTTTAACAAACATGAATTTCCTTCACTCAGTGATTCTTTGAGGTAAATTTAGCTGAACTTGGTCCAAAGGTTCTAGAGAGGAAGTCGAAAATGTGACAGACATAGGTCGGACACCCTTTAATCAGAAAAGTTCACCTGAGTCTTCGGTTCAAGAGAGCTAAAATGAAATGGTAAATAGGATTAATGATATCTATCTATTTCTAGCTTTTAAAAAACTTTCCGTAACAAATTCAAACTGATAAATCTCAAATTTCTTAGAAAACTAGTAAAAAGAAATACTTACAATAAAGACATAAGTTTGTTTTTGAACATGATCTTACCAGAAAACAGAATAAACAGGAAAACTGTAAGAAGTTTCTTCATTTTCCTACTTCTGTAAGTCTAGCAAAAATCCAAAAATATAAAGTAATATAAGTACATGTATGTGAAATTAGGTTTGGAGAGTGACCTCAGTATAGACATGTCAATAAAATTAGCGATGAATCAAAATAAAAGCATCCATTAGTTTTATATATGGAATTAGAAAGATTTGGGTTAATTCTGAATTCATTTTAAAAGGCAAATTTTGATATTTCTTTTTAAATAAAACCATTTGACGCATGTCAGCTCTCTTGCTTGTATTTTTTTTATTATCATCATTATAAGGCCACTTTCAAAACATTTAAAGTTAATGTCTACATTGTTCACACGTTAACACCGACCTATTATCAGACTTCATCAACATGTCATTTTACAAGACGCTGAATTCTAATCGAATCAAAACAAACCATATTTATTATTACGTGTTAAAAACCTAGCAGTAGCAAATGCATTTTGTGCAAAAAGGTTAATAAATATACACATAGAAAAAAAAAATTTATTTGATACTAAAGACCATGCTTTTGTGATTTGAAAAAAGTTCTACCATAGAAGTCTGAGATGAGGAAGAAAGAATGTAAGATAGATCGTATATGTAGGTGATTTAAAGCATGGTACATACTCGGTATGCTAACTGTCACACTGCATCCAAATTAAAATTACATCATATAAAAACTGCTTCATACATGCACGTATCCACGAATGCACGTAGCAGGGATGCAGCAAATTCGTTCTATCATTTAGTCAAATGCTGACAGACGTTTTTACACTTATTGTTAGACCATTATTTATATACTGCATTGTCGACGGATGTGTTATATTCCAATTAATGATAAGCTGCACGGTTGTAATTGGTCGGCAGTAGATGCCCACTCCTCGATGAAACTAGATCACAAGTCTGATGTTTTAGAGGCCCTTGTTTGCTCTGATCTTACTCTGTACTCAAAGAACTTTGAGGTTTTCTGTTTGTTATTTCCGTATATTCACGTACATTTGTAACTTTTATTATCAAAGTACTTTTGTTAGCCGAACTTTTATATGTATATTTTATATAAATTTTGTACAGAAAAAAAGCGATTTTTGATTTTAAACATGATTTTCTTTTTAAGGTGGAATAAGCCTGGGTAGTATTTTTTAATTTTTTTTAATGCTCCATGGCCCTGAGTGACGTGTAAAAAAAATTAATTTTCAAGCCCTTTACCGGTATATGATTACTTCTCTGTATAAGAGAAAAAATTGCTGAACGGGACATAAACTAATATACAATTAATCAAGCATTATTTTACCCTTGCGCATACTGCTTTTACTGGCACAATGTCTACTACCAAAGTTGCAGGATTATGTTAAATATTTGCTTAACCTAAGTTTCTGTTGCTACCCATATCTATAAGAATATATAATATATTATACCGGGCAAACATTTTAATGCATCAATTATTATATATGTATTCAAAATAGAAGTTTGTTATTTATATTTTTAAATTGGAGCAGGAGCTCTAGTTTCTATGGCTCCTTATCTGGAGTTTTTTTCCAGATATTTTGGTATATGTTCTTTATTACAATCAGTACCAAAGCACGTTTTCTGTACGTTTATGCATTCTTGAGAGAAAATAACTTCCAACAAAAAGTATGAATTTCCATGGGTACTAATTGTCCTTTTTTATTAGTCAACCCTTTTTATATTTCTCTTTTTTCTTAGAAACCCCACTTATCACTCGTTAAGGATGTGACTTCGTGAGGGTAACCAATCAATACCACGATCAGGTAGCCACCACGAAGTTAATCATGATTCCAACGTTGAATAACGGATACATACTTCTTCATGGAACCTGATCTTCTTCTATTCGTTTAAGAGGTCCGTGTTGGCTCGCTCTCAATTTTTTATTGGACTTCTTGTTTAATTGACTGTGATTATCTTTTCTTCATATACTGATTAGATTGATTTTTTAAATAATCGAACTTTCTGGGAGCAATTACATCATGTAACTCTAAAGAAAAAATATCAACTTTATAAAAAGTTATATATTCAAGATCGATTTCAGCTTGTTTTTTTACATTAACAGAACTTAGTGATTAAATAATTCTTAGATTCTTATCTCGGAAAGAAATTATAATTTTGGTAGAAAAAAGTGTCTATATATAATATTTCCTTTTTTAAATACCGGGTAAAATATTCATACAATATTTATAATGATTGATTGATTGATTGTATAATGTTTAACTTCCCTCTCCAGAAATGGAGACGTCACCATTGCCGGTGAAGGGCTGCAAAATTAGGCCTATGCTCGGCACTTACGGCATTTATGTAAACATATCAATTATAGGTTCTGTAACCCAGCCAAGTTAGGCCCAAGTCAAGGAAGAAAGTTTACTATCGTATCATGATTGATAAACTAGTATTATTTTCCTTCTTTCTTAAATGTGTTGCTATTTGAAATGCTTCCAATATTCTTTTTTTTAAAATGATCTTCCGGCTTATCTATATCTATGTTGGTCTATATCAATATGCATATCTTCTTAATTTGTCCTTATGTTATTTTTTAGGCATATAATGATATATACATAACATCGTCTTAAAACATAATACATTTTCATGTTCATTTATGCGAAAGAAAATTTTATAAACCTGATACATATCTTTGTGATACAACTTCTGATATTATTTTTATTTATTGGTATATAAACTTTTGTTGATAATAGAAGATGGGCACATTTGGTGTGTGATCTGCAGGAATCATTTGTACGAAACATTCATGGTTAAAATGTCCATGATTTGGTTGGCTGAACATAGCTGGACAGATTTTACAAACACGTCTATGGGTTTTTTTTTTCATTTAGTTTGAAAGACCATGTGAAATTGTAACATCTATACCCGTTTTTCCTAGGGGGTACTTTAACATAGTAATGTTTCACAATAAATAAACACCTAAAATATTTAATGCATACTATTAGACGCATGATACGTGAACATGTACATTATAGAATAGAAGATTGGAATTGATTTCGTTCGAGAACCAAACTGAACCAAAATTTATCGAAATAAATTCAAAATTTTAATACATCGGGACATAAAGGAAACTGACAAAATAAATGGTTGTTTGCATGAAAAAAAAATTAACGCCCCATGCCAGGCTAGAACCAAACACTTTTCGCTTCTAGCGCACTGAACAGGTAGTCCTACTTACTGGGCTATCTCCGCTACATTTATTCTGATCATTTAAAAAGGACAAAGACGCACCACATAAAGACATTTGGACTTTTTGGGGAAAATACATTTTTTGTGGTCTCTGGGTCTTCTCTCTATTTTTTTAAATTGTGTATTCGTTTCTTTGAATTAGATAAACACAAATAATGTTTCAAAATCATGGAGAGAAGACCCTGAGATAGAAGAATTTTAGAATAACGTGTTCAAAAATGTACCATTTTGTACCAAATGTTTGATCTGGCCAATTTTCAAGTTATTTTTTAGTAAATCAAAGCTCAATTTCGGGAAAATATTTTCCGTTCCTGTTGCACAGGAAGCCGATAAATAAAAAAAATTATAAAATTTTATGTGACATGTCGATAAAATTTTCACTTTTCAATTACGCCCAGATTTCTCCCGAATGCCAATCAAAAGCGCGATCGTTCTTTTAGAATTTTTTAAATGATCTTTTATTGCAAGTAACAATTTTGTTATCCAAATTGGTAAATTGAAAATTTCAGTGATGTTTTGGAAAGTTATTTTTCATGGACAATTGTAGAATTTCATATAAAGCATTGAAAATCTAGTGGCGTATATTCGAGGTATAAAGGATCTAGGTGGGTGTGGGTTTAAAAAAGCTTTTAAATCAAAGCATTTCCCTTCTCCCTAGAAAAATATAAATTATTATTTGAGAAAAAATTAAAGAAATTTACCTTGACTTCTGTGTTAACAATTTCAGAAAAAATCTTTTTTCGTACACGTTACTTAACATAGAATTTAAGGCTGTCCTTCTGGATGCAATAAAAATCTTCACCGAAAAAGATCTAGGTGGAGTTAGGTAGAATCCAACATACTTACATTTAGACAACAAGTGTTCTGTAGGAAAATGGAGGAGGAAAAAACATAGCTCAGGTGTTCTGAACGGCCTTCTTCATATATCTATGTATTTCCTTGTACTGATATCGAGCAATTCTGATTGTCATATCAGCAAATAGTACTACTGAAGCCCTGTTGTGATTCTTCATTTCAATTTTTATTTATACAAACGTTGAATATAAAGAAAAGTATTCGATCTTTAAAAATATAAACAGTACATTTAAGAACAGGGGAACAACCATGGACCCCTGGTAATTTCAGTGTTGCGATCAGGTGCCTAGGAGGAGTAAGCATCCCCTGTTGACCGTTCTCATCCATCGTAACAT